GAAAACGTTCGGATACTAAATTGACTTGACTTGACTGTGCGGATTGCGTCCGTGCTCAGGCGGGTGCTGACAATTTTTTTCGAATTGGATGCACCTCCAATCTTTTCTTACAGTACAGTAGAAAATTTATTTTACTACTACATGTACCCCCCCCCCCCACCATGATTGAGAAACAGAGGGTACCATGTTCAAGTCCTGCTTGGAAGCGGAAGGAATTTTTCCAGCCGTGCTGCGACCCACAGTTACATGTATTTGGGAACTTGTGGCCTGGCACGAGGGCATCATGGATGCAGCTAATGGGATTTCGGTCTTTGACCACTTGGTGGTGGGTCCGATCTACTCACTTCCCACCGTTTAGGCGCTGCATCTGCGCCTTTGATCCTAGAGGGTGGTGGCTGTTGCGAACCCTCTGGTTCTCGAAAGTGTCAGGAACGAACGACCCCACACGGCACGAGGACAACTATTTATTCTCAACAGTATATTTCACTTCCATCGACTAACAACAATGAAATGAATGAACAATTGAATAACTAACACTAAAACCACCAGGTAGTTATAGCGTGAAATGACAGCGTACATGAGAAAAGCATACACATACAACATACAACTACAGCGCACACAGCAAACGCACATAGCGCATGTAGCGTATGCCACGTCGTAAACATCAGCGGTACGGCGGAGTCGGGATACAGCTGCATTGAAACGAACACAATGTCACAAGCGAGAAGGCCTTTCACTCTCGAGAACTTGTGGTTTCACAACATTCTCCCCACCAAAGGGCTTCTCACCGCCGTGCAACAACTCACAAGTCAAACGATTTGGGGCTTACAACGCGTCATCTGCTGCTGCGGTGGTGGCCATGGTAGAATATCACTAATGCCCACCAATTCAGAAAACTCGACATCGCGAAGCTTGCCGCTGTGGACTGTCGCACACGACACTGTCACCGATCCACTTCGACATGGGGCAGACGCTGGACCAGACAACACACAACCGATAATGTCATAAAGCTCGACGATGTGGGCTGTCACACACGACATGGTCACCGGTACACTGCTTCGACCCGGGGCGGGCGCGGAATCCGAGGACACACATCGGATCTCTGTGTTCCACACAGTCTCGCCGCTTACTTCATCCGTGCTAACCAGTAGTATCGCCCTTCTTATTTTCTCGGCTTCTACGCCTTGCGTTTCTAAGTCTTGCGCCTCTAACTCTTCCGCCTTTAACTCTTCCGCCTTTAACTCTTCCGCCTTTAACTCTTCCGCCTTTAACTCTTCCGCCTCCAACTCTTCCGCCTCCAACTCTTGCGCCTCCAACTCTTGCGCCTCCAACTCTTGCGCCTCCAACTCTTGCGCCTCCAACTCTTGCGCCTCCAACTCTTGCGCCTCCAACTCTTGCGCCTCCAACTCTTGCGCTAACTCCTGCGCCTCTAACTCTTGCGCCTCTAACTCTTGCGCCTCTAACTCTTGCGCCTCTACGTCTTGCGCCTCGACGTCTTGCGCCTCGACGTCTGGCGCCTTTACGTATTGCACCTCTACGTCTTGCGCCTCTACGTCTTGCGCCTGCACGTCTTGCGCTTCTACGTCGTTCGCCTCTACGTCGTTCGGCCGAGATTCCACCTGCTTCTGAGCGTCTCCGACCGATGTCGCCATGCACTGCACCGACCCAGTGGGCCTTGGATCTGATCCTCCCACTGGCTTCGAATGCTCCTCTGACCGCTGCTTGTCTGTAAGCAAAGTCTTCCACGCCTTGTCCGGCGTCCTTTCGCGTGTGGCAAGCAAATCTCGCTTTGCTCCCTCATATTTACTGCTGGCGATGCGCTCGTTAATCTTCTTGAGCTTTTCGTTAAACTCTGTGCGGAGCGCACCCTCTTGCCGTCTAGCACTGAGCTCTTCAAACTCCTCGCTCTGTCGGAGCCTCTTCTCCACGTATTCTCTCAACCTATCGCCTTCAAATCCATACCGAATTCCGTTAGCGATAAAGCTGGCTTCAATGATCCATAGTTCCTGTGCCATGCTCGCTTCGTATCCTGGCGTGGTCGCCAAATGTTGCGAACCCTCTGGTTCTCGAAAGTGTCAGGAACGAACGACCCCACACGGCACGAGGACAACTATTTATTCTCAACAGTATATTTCACTTCCATCGACTAACAGCAATGAAATGAATGAACAACTGAATAACTAACACTAAAACCACCAGGTAGTTATAGCGTGAAATGACAGCGTACATGAGAAAAGCATACACATACAACATACAACTACAGCGCACACAGCAAACGCACATAGCGCATGTAGGGTATGCCACGTCGTAAACATCAGCGGTACGGCGGAGTCGGGATACAGCTGCATTGAAACGAACACAATGTCACAAGCGAGAAGGCCTTTCACTCTCGAGAACTTGTGGTTTCACAACAGTGGCGTTCCCACGACGGATGCGGAAAACTGGGCTTCCAGCCGAGTCTCAAGCGAACCGTGAAATTTTTAATTTTTATTACATGTATAGTGTACATGTACATGTATCTGCCCGGAGTGTAATACCCGGCTGTACATGTACAGTACAACCTGGTTTAAGCGACCACCCCACGGTGCAAGCCAAAACGGTCGTTAAAGCCAGGTGGTCTTCAGAGCAAAACAAAACAGTGTCTGTATGGAACTGTGGGTGCATGGAAAGACGGTCGTTAAGAGCAGGTGGTCGCTAAACCCAGAGGTGGTCGCTAAACCCAGAGGTGGTCGCTTACACCAGGTTTTGCTCTACACGTAGGTAATCACGTTGAAGGAATGTTAAAGGGAAAAGTCTGAAGAAAAAATTGACTGTCACCATCAGAAATGGAACCAGGGACCTTCGCTTGAGGCCAGCGATGCTCTGACCACTGAGCTAAGGTGTAGCTGTCATCCCAGCAGAGACCGTTCAACATCTTCCTCAGCCTTTGGTATTCATTAATTTTCTTTTTCAATCTTCCATAATAATTTAAAAGAAGGTGGCTCTTCGCAACATCTTAGTTCTTGTTTTATTTTGATAACAAACATTCCGAAAGGAAATGGGTGATTATCTAGGACGTGTGGCTGCCGTCACCTGTGTTTTGGAAACATGATCAAAGTCCTAGGCGCTAGTGCGTGTCCTGTTGGCCAGTGGCGTCTAGCCGAGACACAAATGAGCGGAGGGCGCAGAGTAGTATGGCCTCCTGACAAGAGCACAGCTACGAAACCACTGGCTTTCTCCGTCTACATGTACATATACATGTACATGTACTATACATGTACATGTACATGTACATGTACATGTACATGTATATGTACACGGTACCTTTCTCAAGTGGCAATCTAAAAACAACCATCTGTTTTCGGATGATCGCTTAGTGCGTGAAACTCAGAGTTAAAACACTTTTTCGATTCTGTCCTCTTACTGTTTGAACTAGCTCTGGCTCTCGATATTGAGCACTCTATAGGACAGCCTGGAACCTCTCTGTGTGTTCTTTTTTAAGAATTGTCTTGCTGCTGGTTATTGAACACGTATGCATATGCTGTGCTGTGTTTATGCTTCGTGGACTGGTTCGGCTAAGAGCGCACGGTGGTGACGGGTTGAGGATGAAGTAAATTTGAGATTGGGGCTCGCAAACTTTGGTTTGGGGCCAGTTTGGCCAAGATGGCAAGGAGCACGACACATCTCAAACCAGTGAAAGATTAATGTGAAGGAGATAATTTTAAAGAAGGCTGAACAGAAGCAAGCGAAAAGGGTTCTTGTAAAGAAGGGGGGGGGTAAACAGTGCAGACAGCTGACGGGACGCAGGCAACAGTGGCTAGGGAGGGCCCAAATATGCTCAAAGAATTCGCATATTATGCTTTTCACATATTGGCCACTTGCTTCAAAATATGCTTCGAAATCACACAAAAGCAGAAAAATTTGCTCGAAATATGCTCGAAATATGAACTGATATCAGTGATAATTATGCGAATTCTTTGCTCCTTGTAGCAAAATATGCTAGATTTGGTACAATATGCTAGATTTGCTACTTTATGCGACCTTGAGTCGCGGACGCTCTCTTCTTGGGTCAAATTTTCGCCCCGTGTTTGGATGAGCATTTTTCCTTCTGGGCTAAGTTTGGAAATGTTCCCTGACCGAGCGTGCCATGGTAAGTTTCCTTGGCCATTTCCGCAATCTGCCCTATAATTATGCGAATTATTTGCTCCTTGTAACAAAAGATGCTACATTTGGTACAATATGCTAGATTTGCTACTTTATGCTACCTTGTGTCAAAAGGACCAAATATGCGAAAATATGCGCAAGCATATTCGGGCCCTCCCTAACAGTGGCAAAGCCACTTTGTCTTACTCATAGAACATGCTTGGATGTTGAACCAACTCTATGAGTACAGAGAAAGGACCAATCAGTTACGAGTTATGACTAACAGTTCACCAAGGTAACAAGATTTTATACAGCCAATACTATCTGACTATGGGACTGCATACGATCTCGTTACCTTGGTGTACTGTTAGCCATAACTCGTGCATGTAACTTATTGGTCCTATCTCTTTACTCGTACATATGTATACTTCAGACAAAGCTCCCTGATAGTCCAGTCGCGATGACGTCACGTGGAAGAGATCTGAAACCAGAGAGTCTTAGACCTACTCAGAAGCAAGACCAAAAAGTACGGATTTACTGGCCAGAAAAAGACACTTCATAGCTGTGTGGTGTAGACCAGGCTGAATAGTGGCGGTCAATTCTTCAGCCTTGCAAACTGCTGAATAGTGCAATCTCAGCACAAGTTGCTATGGTTTCTGCGGCAGCATCACTATCATCGCCTCCGGTAATGGGCGTCAAAAAAGGTCAAAAGGGCTGAAACTGGCGTCCGGCTGCACAAGCACGTCCGTTTCCTTGTACCCAACATGAAACTTTTGTTTTGGACAGCTCTGCGATGACGGTTTTCCGTGTCTCGAGTGGCGTTATGTCACTGCTAGCCTGTTCTACATTTCCATCTCTTTCACTGACTTTCAGCTCCAGTAAGTTCGGCGGACTCTTCAGAAAGGATTGGCCCAAAAAGCTGATGATTATTTGGAAGGCAGGAATCAGAGTAGAATGGGTGTTGTTCTGTAGTTTGGACCATTCAAAGGTAAACATACTGCGCAATCATTTGTGGCGCTGCCATATTTTGTGACTTGCATACCGGTAATACAATAGAGCAAAGATAATTATATCAACTAGATGTCTAGACGCAGGCGCTGTAGGGTGGGTAATTACCTGTGACCGTTTGTCGTGTCAACAGAGTCGGGGAAGTGAGGAAGTTTCCACCAATCTCAAACTGTACGAGGTGCCCAGCTGCTCAAGCATGGACCGAGGAGATGCTCCATTGACCGGCGATCTCGAACCCTACAACCTTCCTAGCTCCGTAAGCATGAGCCGAGAAGATGACCAACTGGACGCTGATGACACAAGTCCACTAAGCAAGGACGAGGAGGAAGAGCAGCGAAGGGCCAGACGGCAGAGGGCGTGCTGGATAAGCTGCACACTTCTCTGTTGTTGTTGCTGTGTATTCCTTGACGCGTGTTGCAGCCCGTTGAGATTATGTTCGATTGGCTGCAAAGACTGAGATTCTGGACCGTTGGAGGTCGTTCCCTGTGCGAATACTCGACTACCAATACTTGATAACTGCTGTCTGAGAGCTTCAGCCTTGCATTACCGCATGACCTTGCCTGCCTTCTAGTGCCACCGTCTACAATACGATTTCATCCTGTATTGAACAATGATAATAATGATATTATCATCATTGAAAAATACGAGGTGAACAGCATTCCTAACAGTCAGTAGCCTCCTCTATCGTCGTTCCTTGGATCTCCATGGACATGTGTGCCATGTCGGACATGTTGAACTATCTCGTGAGGTGGAAAGGCTATTCGCTGAATTTGTATATCACCCGACACTGATGTTTGTTTTCCTAATCATTGTCCGCAGATTGAGTAACGTTCCTATTCAGTGTTGCCCAGGTGATCCATGGGGGCCTGTGTATTCTGCCTCTCGGTAGTGAGCACTAGCACTCTCTTGGATAGACTGGTACATCTAGAAACAAAATTGTTCATTAATAATATTGTGTGCACTTCCAAGTAGATGTAAGATTGCATAGATGGACTTCGCAGTTGATTTTAGTCATTGCAATTGCTCAATCGGGGTTAGGGGTTAGAAACTGTTTCGTCCTTTATGGACTCATCAACGCAGCACAGAGAAAATGAGGCCGAACCAATAATTATGATGAACCGTTGTCTCCTCGTCGACTCTACATGTACATGTACGAAGATGAAGATAAGACCGATCCGAACTTCGGCTGCAAGTTACCAAAGAATCAATGAACTCTAGTCTAGTAATAACAATTATAATTATTCCAAGCTACGCAGGGTTTGAAAGTTGCAACGGCCAAATGATTGCTTCATGTGGCGATTGCGGGTCTGCGGGTTCATCGCAGTCGGCAATTTACCTGCCGTCACGCATCGCAGCCTCACAGATCCGTCGAGCCCAGGAGACGGAACAGGCTAGAATTTCACCAAGAACGGCATACCGTGATGCGTCGACTACACTGCACATGATACATGATACATGTAGATTGTAGTTCTTGGGCGATACAGGTACGGCGTACTGGTACCTATCGAAATGAAAGAGCGTCATGTATCTTTCCAATGGGATTTGGTGCGCTTGCAAACCTCGTTCGTGGCTCCATTTGACCACCAATGCGGCATGGCAAGTAAGAGTAGTTACAGCAGTGAGACAAATCTCAAACTAGACAAGCACTCACGAGCAGCAGGCATCCTCTAGTACGTGCATGTTGTCAAACCGTCAACTGGACCTTGTCAAACACCAATGCACGGGTCGGTTGACTTTATTGCTTGCGACTTTAGACAGCTGACGGGACTCGGAAACCAGTGCCAAACAACTAACTTACTTACTACAAAATGACTGTACTGAATCAGTGATGACTGTAACCTTGAAGTCATAAAGCATAACTTCAGTTACCATAGCGAGGATCCTCAGATTGCCTAGAGTGCCCAACACAAGAAGGAAGGAGCTTCAGGTGCAGCGCTTCACGCGAGGATCAGCATCATTAATATTAATATTATTCTTTTCACTAGTTTGAGGGAAAGAGACAAACGAGAAAAAGTCTGAAGAAAAAAATGACTGTCACCACCAGGACTCGAACCAGGGACCCTCGCTTGTAGCTAGCGATGCTCTAACCACTGAGCTATGGTGTAGTCGTCATCCCAGCAGAGACTGTTCAACATTTTCTTCAGACTTCGTAACTCACACTTCCTGTGAATCCACACAGGCGGATGGGACGCAGCCCTCACTGTACCCACACACACTATTATTATTATTATTATTATTATTATTATTATTCAAAGGATCAGTCGGGGAAGTGAACTGCCTGAAAAGAGAAAAACGCCAGACCCACCAGGACTCGAACCTGGGACCCTGCTTGTCATAAGTCCTGGTGGGTCTGGCGTTTTTTCTCTTTTCAGGCAGTTCACTTCCCCGACTGATCCTTTGAATTTGAAGTTCTCCCATCCTTTCCAAATTATTATTATTATTATTACTTCCTCCGTTAACAAAAACTTCGTGATGGATTTTGATGGATATGAAAACGCTTAGAACAGGTCAAGAACAGTTTGTATCGACTGCAAATCACTGGACGAAGGTGATTCAGCCTATGTACAGCGTTTTTACAAGAGAAACTGTTGGCGGAATGAGCAGAGAGTTCAGTTTGCGTCGCTTTCGCTCGATTCATTTTTGACCTGCGTCGCTGTCGTCATCTGCTGCACGCGAGTCGTCATCTGCTGTACGCGAGTCGTCATCTCTCTCGAGTCGTTGTTCAGCTCGTTTCAGCCTTGCCTCGGCTTCTTTGATCACACTCCGCTGACCTTGATGTCGCCGTCGTTCAGGTAAGTTGGCGTGATCCGCCGCGATGGCGATTACTCGTTTCCACCCGGGAGTCGTGAAAAATATTTTACGACCCCCTGGTTTCATCTTCGCTCTCCAGAACTCCGTGAAACGAGGAGTAAAGGCACAGCCAAATTGATTCCATTTTCTCTAATGGATACCAGCACTGAACGGCAGCGGCTAGCAAGTCCAGTCGACTTTCTTTAGCCACGAGACTCGCATCGGACTGCAGACTTCTGAAAGATTGCATGGTCATCAGCATTCGAATCTGGACTTTGCGCAGGTTGAACAAGAACTTGAGTTCAGAATTATTTTCATTGAGCCGTGCGATCGGAGCAGCTCCTTGTTCACTCGCTCATTGTGTGGGCTCGCTGCTCCGTTTTATCGCTCTCTATCACTCTCCAACTTACTCAGCGCTAAAGTGGTAGAGAGGCCAAGCAGCGCAATATCCCCTCGGAGAAGTGGTATTTCAGTTTCGCTCGCCATGACTGTCATCACCTATGTTTCCACAGCGCAACCATCGATTCCGTTCGGCTTGTAGTGAAAGGTCGCTTTCCTTGCATCGTACCTCTGTCATGGCATGCCAGGGAAGGCCAAGAAAGTGATTGCGACTCATTTCACGGCAGTTTGTGCCCAAATCAGCCCCTCAAAATTCCATCACGAAGTTTTTGTTAACGGAGGAAGTATTATTATTATTATTATTATTTGTCTCTTTCCCTCAAACTAGTGATTATTATTATTATTATTATTAAGCTTACGTGGAGATAAAAATGTAATCAACGCAATAAATAGAGTAAGCTGCGCACTCAGTACAAACACCATTAGCAAAACTTGTTTTCATGTAAATAATTAAGCTTGTTCCTAAACGTTTTCGTCGCCATCTCATCAGAGGATTACTGGCAAATCAAAACTAGCTCTAAACTCCATATATATACGCACAATGCAAGTAGTAATTTAGACCCTAACTAGCGCGAGAAAATGAGAGCTGAAAAAACATTACATCAATCAACGATATCAGGTGACAACAGATGCGATAAATTCACCACTAGAAATTAACCATGCACCACAAACGAGAACTACTGATCTAAATTCACAAACAATTTCAACGTAAACAAATTCTTTTTCTGCCTACACAAAATCGGCTTGGTAATAAAAATGTAGATAGACTCCAATACACGCAGATACATTTGACTACGTGAACGAGACCAAACAGAAAAGCAATCATCAGTATAACTAGAACGACAATCACTATTCTGAACAAGATGGTTTGCAACAGAAGATTCATACACCCTAACACCACTACTAGAACCAGTACATACTTTGGAATTACGTGACAATGAAACCGACTTGACATTCCTTGCCGCTACTGCCACTCCAGACGAAGCCGATGTAGATGTCCGTACCAAAGACACGTCCGTTACTGGCACTGCCTGCTGCGATGATGCTCCCTTTGACGTTTCAATGGCCGTTGGTGTTGATGAAGAAGAGGAGGGAGATGAGGAAGATGCTGACGACGACGAGGACGACAACGACGGAGACGATAAAGATAAAGATGGTGTGTCTGCGGGACCAGTGACTCGCTCTAGGGCGAGGTTGGCGGAGTCTTTATCGTCTCCGTCGTTGTCGTCCTCGTCGTCGTCAGCATCTTCCTCATCTCCCTCCTCTTCTTCATCAACACCAACGGCCATTGAAACGTCAAAGGGAGCATCATCGCAGCAGGCAGTGCCAGTAACGGACGTGTCTTTGGTACGGACATCTACATCGGCTTCGTCTGGAGTGGCAGTAGCGGCAAGGAATGTCAAGTCGGTTTCATTGTCACGTAATTCCAAAGTATGTACTGGTTCTAGTAGTGGTGTTAGGGTGTATGAATCTTCTGTTGCAAACCATCTTGTTCAGAATAGTGATTGTCGTTCTAGTTATACTGATGATTGCTTTTCTGTTTGGTCTCGTTCACGTAGTCAAAGGTATCTGCGTGTATTGGAGTCTATCTACATTTTTATTACCAAGCCGATTTTGTGTAGGCAGAAAAAGAATTTGTTTACGTTGAAATTGTTTGTGAATTTAGATCAGTAGTTCTCGTTTGTGGTGCATGGTTAATTTCTAGTGGTGAATTTATCGCATCTGTTGTCACCTGATATCGTTGATTGATGTAATGTTTTTTCAGCTCTCATTTTCTCGCGCTAGTTAGGGTCTAAATTACTACTTGCATTGTGCGTATATATATGGAGTTTAGAGCTAGTTTTGATTTGCCAGTAATCCTCTGATGAGATGGCGACGAAAACGTTTAGGAACAAGCTTAATTATTTACATGAAAACAAGTTTTGCTAATGGTGTTTGTACTGAGTGCGCAGCTTACTCTATTTATTGCGTTGATTATTATTATTATACTCATAAAAAGGACACACTTCAGGCTCATTACAAACATCTTGAAAGTTTTTGTCTTCACAAGTATACTTTCAAGCCTTCTCATCAGGTGAAATACAGGCAAGAGAAAAGGAACAGGAACAGTGGATTAAATACAGTAAGAAGGTGGTAAAACAGCGCAAAAAGAAAGAAAGAAAGAAAGAAGATAGCTAAAGTAAACAGCGAAAATTGCAATAATGACACAAAGGTGCAAATGCGAGAAAACTCAATAAGCGCGACATGTAGTGCGACAACAAGAGACAACCACTGGACATAAAGTATACTTGTGAAGACAAAAACTTTCAAGATGTTTGTAATGAGCCTGAAGTGTGTCCTTTTTATGAGTATTATCGCATTTTTGTCTCAGAGGAAACTGTTTACCTATTATTATTATTATTATTATTTTAACTGGTTTTGAGGGAAAGAGACAAACGGGAAAAGTCTGAAGAAAAAATTGACTGTCACCACCAGGACTCGAACCAGGGACCCTCGCTTGTAGCCAGCGATGCTCTAACCACTGAGCTATGGTGTAGTCGTCATCATTATTATTATTATTATTATTATTATTCTTTATTCCACGATGGCGTGACGCCAATAAGGACGATTGATAAGTGTTCATTGTGCCACGTGT